ATCACATCATTCAATGGATTAACAGTATTTTAATGCATACATTTATGTTCTACTAGTGGAGTGATTTCACCACTTAATATTGCTGATTGATTCTATGTATGATTATTTCTTTTATATATATAAATATATATATATATATATATATATATATATATATATATATATATATATATATATATATTATATACAATTTATTTCAAAACTATAACAAATATGTTATCAAATGCCAGAAGTGTTGAAACAAAATGGCTATTTTTGTAGTGATTGTATAAAATTTGTTATAATTTTCAAATAAATTATATTTGCTCTACTCTGTATTGAGCACTCTTTTAAGAATAGTATTTTTTTGGTTATTGGAATTTATTCCATATACACCAATCCTATACTTATATATATAGTTTTAAGTTTCAGTTTGTCTTTAAGTTTATCTTTGAAATGCAAGAGTGGGCTTCCAACTGACCTGCTTGTTAGAAGCTGGACAAAGAGAAGATAGATATATAGTATATCCTATACTTATATATAAAAAGAATGTACAGTGTAACCCGGATATAAGAGAGATTTTTTCTGGTCCCAAATTAGAGCCTGTGTTAATGTATATAAAATAGACCAAACCCGGATATAAGAGAACCCCGGATATAAGAGAGATTTTCTCTGGTCCCAAATTAGAGCCTGTGTTAATGTATATAAAATAGACCAAACCCGGATATAAGAGAACCCCGGATATAAGAGATTTTCTCTGGTCCCAAATTAGAGCCTGTGTTAATGTATATAAAATAGACCAAACCCGGATATAAGAGAACCCCGGATATAAGAGAGATTTTCTCTGGTCCCAAATTATAGACTGTGTTAATGTATATAAAATAGACCAAACCCGGATATAAGAGAACCCCGGATATAAGAGAGATTTTCTCTGGTCCCAAATTAGAGCCTGTGTTAATGTATATACAATAGACCAAATCCGGATATAAGAGAAACCTTCTCCGGTCCTGACAACTCTCTTATATCCGGGTTACACCGTATAAACATACAAATATATATTTTAAGACATTCTTATGTTTATACATTCTTTTTTTATATATATATATATATATATATATATATATATGTCTGTTCACTATCTATCTATCTATATATATGTGTCTGTTCATTATCTCTCCTATATATATATATATATATATATATATATATATATATATGTCCATTATCTATCTATCTATCTATATATATATATATATATATATATATATGTCTATTCAAACTTAAGAATTTCTCTCTCTCTCTCTATATATATATATATATATATATATATATATATATATATATATATTCTTTTTTGTAACAGATGATAAATGAGGGATCAGTAAAATTTTCAAATCGCACTATATATGGTGGACTTTCTTGTTGTAGATGACAAATGAATGTTCAGTAAAATAAAGAGGTGCACAAATTTTATGGACTCGTATGTGTCTCCCAAGGCCTGCAGGTGTTTCGCAAACATTTTGTTTGATTGGTTCAAGATCAATTACCACATGTTTCCGCAAATGGCAGCAAGACCTCATTTGCTGCGTGCAACAAAGCTATAGTGGCAGGTAAAAGGCTATTGTTGAGAGGAGCAACACGCTGCCAACTTTCTTTAATATTTGCACCCACTTGATCCTGATGTTCAAGTCAGCCTCTCTGAAACCTTTACATAGATGAGAAGCAAGACAAACACCCAGCTCCTTCGCTCTGATGCTTTGGTTTTCCAGGGAGAAAAAATTGTTTGTATTATTTCAGTTTGTTTTTAAGTTTGTATTTGAAATGCAAGAATGGCCTTTCCTTCCAACTGACCTGCTTGTTAGAAGCTGGACAAGGAGAATATATATATATATATATATATATATATATATATATATATATATATAAAATCCAACAAATTGACTCCTACACGACAGTCTGTTTCATGCTATATGCAATTCTTACCTGATGATTGCATATAGCATGAAACAGACTTCGCCTCTAAGTGTTGAAATTTCTATTTCACTTTTCATATTTAGTCACGCTCTATCTCTGATATTGAGCACTTTATCCCATAAATATAGCACACCTTAAGACTATATATTTTTATATATATATATATATATATATATATATATATATATAGTCATCCACAGACAGACTGTTTCACTGTATCACAGCTCATCAGTGTGGCTAGACATCCGGTTGCCTCGAGCTAGGATCGAAACCTGACTGAATTGGTGTCAGTCGGGGATTTTACCACTAAGCCGTTGGCGCATGGCAGGGATGAAGGTGAATTTAAGTGTATTTATTTTTAGATAAACACACAGTGACCGAGAGAACTCAAATTGATTTACCGAAGAGTCTTGCATTATTAGCCGTAATAGTCACTGTTTACAAACACATACTTCCTCCCCAGAGAGCTCAACTGAAATAAATTTTTCAGAAGCATATATTGTCATCCACACACACACACACATATATATATATATATATATATATA